AAAAATAGGCACAGAGAGATTAAATAACTAATCAAAGGTCATACAGATAGCTGGGTAAGGAGCCAGGATTGGAACCCAGGCAGTCTGGCTCTGTCCTTCATTTTCGTCCCCACTTCACTGTACTCAGGAAGCATAGCCCTAGAGGAGGCTGCTGAACTCTGCTGGCTGATGAACTGGATTTATGCACCACATGGGTTGATTGTGTGCTAGTGTTCCTTCAAGGGAACCTTGACGTTGACTAAAGCAGAGACAGAGCTCCCAGACCTTGATGAATAATTCGCAAATTTTAATATACATCCAAATTACCTGGGGATTTTTTTAATGCACATTACCAGACTCAGTGGCCAGAATTCTTACTTAGATGAGTGTTAGGTGACAAGGTAATTAATATATAATATTACACCCACACTCCCAGACCTTAGAGATAAAATAGAAAAATGAGAACAAAATGTCACCTGATTTTGCTGATAACAGTAAATTTGGAGGATTTGACTTGATGTGTATCTACAGTGGATATTCGCTTTGCAGACAAAGGCCCGTCTAGTCAAAGCTATGGTTTTTGCAGTAGTCATGTAGGGACGTGAGAGTTGGACCATGAAGAAGGCTGAGCACCAAAGAATTGATGCTTTTGAACTGTGGTCCTGGAGAAGACTCTTGAGAGTCCCTTGGACTGCAAGGAGATCAAATTAGTCACTCCTAAAGGAAATCAACCCTGAATATTCATTGGAAGGACTAATGCTGAAGTTGAAGCTCCAATACTTTGGCCACCTGATGCAAAGAGCCAACTCATTGGAAAAGACCCTGATGCTGGGAAAGACTGAGGGCAGGAGAAGGGCCAGGAGATGGGTTGGATGGCATCACCAACTCACTGGACATGAATTTGAGCAAACTCCGGGAGATAGTGAAGGACAGAGAAGCCTGCGAGCTGCAGTTCATGGGGTCATAAAGAGTCGGACACGACTGAGTGTGACTGAACAAACGACAGCAGTGGATATTCAGGATACCAACCCCGGAGCTGGAATGGCCCACTTCGTCACAGGAAGCATGCGGCGACCTCAGCCTCCTTCAGAGGGGGCCTGCCCGGTGAGACTCATCCGAGGCAGCACTCTGCTGGCCGGCTGGCTCCTGGAGGGAGGGGGAGGGAGGCGGGGCTAAGCTGCCTGAACTCAGTTCTCTGTGAAACTCATGGGGCAGGTAATTCCTTCCACATGCCCTTAGTGAGAAATGGGAAGCAGCCTTCCAGTCACAATGAATTTCACAGCTGAGGCCCAGAAATCTGCACTTTTAACAAGAAGCCCCGGTGTTTCTTGATCTTCCCAACCCAGGGATTGAACCCAGGTCTCCTGCATTGCAGGCAGATTCTTCACCATCTGAGCCACCGGGGAAGCCCTAATTGGTCCTCAGAACACACTTTAAGAAATAAAGGTCTAGGGTCCTGGCAGTCCAGTGGCTAAACTTTGCCTTCCAATGCAGGGGGTGTGGGTTCAGTCCCTGTTTGGGGAGCTAAGATCCCACATGCCTCATGACCAAAAAGTCAGAACATAAACAACAGAAGCAATACTGTAACAAATTCAACAGACTTTACAAATGGTCCATTTCAAAAAAAAAAAATCTTAAAAAATTCTAGAAAGTCTTTGTTCTAGAAACAAAGTACTAGCTGACCTCCAGAAAGAAAACCATGTGGATGGCTTGCTGTCTTTCAGAAGCTGATGGATGAGCTTGAATGATGGTATTTCAAAAGAGCTATTGTATTACTCATATGGTGTTTCACATGGCCCAGCCCCTGTGGTTAGCCCTTAACATATGTGAAGACATTTAAACATATGAAGTCACAATAGTTAGATATTAGGGCAGAGAGAGGTTAAGTAATTTTCTCCAGGCTGCACAGCTGAAAAGTGGCACGGCTAGAAATGGGAACCAGGACGTCTGGCTCCAGTCTGGCCCTCTGGCTACACTGCTACAAGTGGTTCCCTATCCACGGACACAGATTTCTGCAGGGGTCAAGGCACCGAGCAATTAGCCCAGGGTGTTCCCAAGCCCACTTGCAAAACCCATCTATCAATTTATTCATTGACAGAGCAGCTAATGAATTCATCTAAAAAAGCAAAATGAAGTCTTAGTAACTGTTTATTATTTTGCCTTCCCAACCAGTGAATATTAAAATTATAGCTATCATGTTGCTAATTAAGGATTTTGTTTTCTTCACCTTGAAGAGGACTGGTGTAATGTGAAAGGGCTGTATGCCACCATCATAAGAAATACAGCCCAGATGCAAAGTGAGAGAAGGAGAACTTGAATGTTATTCTTTGAGATCACATGTTTTAAGGTTGACGATGCAAATTACTCCTTCTCTGGAGAAGAAGACCTTCAGTTGAAGACTCCAGTAGAGCAACTCATATAAAAAATGCTTCAGGGGCTGTCACCCCATGTTTGCAGTTTTCCACGCAACTGAGGATGACGCCAGGGTTCCCAGAGCTGAGTGGGAGAATGTGTTGATTTTGGCAAATGGGGAAAGGATGAAATGCCTTGCAGTGTCAGAAATGTGGGGATGTTAATATACTAACATAAGTGGTCTCCAATCAGGAGAGATTTATGTACCAGACATCATTTATTTGGCAGACATTTATTAATGCGTTAGTGTGTTAGCTATTACACAGTCCTTGCCCTTGGTCAGATGAAGAGATGGACATTTACAGATGAGATTAGTGTATGCGAATATCAGCCATTGTGTCCTTGGCAGAACGTAAGTCAGCAGATGGCAGAAATACCCAGAAGAAGTGCTAGGTAGAAATGCCCCCCGTCTGATGTGGGAATTCACAGGCATCTTCTTGCTAGAGATGAGCCTGAAAGGATTACTGTTGGGGGTTGGCAGGTGGGCAGGCCTAGCAAGAGCTGTTTGAGCAAGACGGACGTGAGGACACAAGCAACAGAGCTATGCCCTTTCTCGTGGCTATTAAGAGAAGTTGTCTGCAGAAGCAGATTGAGGTAGAATACAGTTCACGGAATTCCAGAAAGTGGAATTTGGACTTTCAGACAGCTGAAGATTATCTTTTGTGAATTTTGGTGGGCCACCCTAGATTCAATGAAACCTCATTCCCTTTTTATAATTTCTGAGCAGATGACACTCTTCCTTCATCATACCAAAAAAGCCATGATGGTGTCAACTAGGGTCATTAGTAATGATAAACAAGCTCCCCCAAGGACCCACATCCCCTTTGCATTCTAACCTCAGAGCGAGGTTATTTAGTAGGCTCTCTAACAAGGTCGCAGCATTGGGACTCGGCACCCAGCTTGCTTGACTGAGGGCACCGTGCCTTTCAGATCTGTTTTACATGAACGTCCCAAGCTTGTTGTGTGTGAAATTGATTGGCTCTTGCACTTGCTGAATTGGTGATCTGTTTTTCTGAGGGATTCTACACATATTGGATATGATCATATACAATGACAAAGTGGGTGGTAGTATTTTTCCTATGCCTCTAATTTATGTATTTGTGCTGGGGTGATGATTTAGATGGGAGCTCAATAAATTGATCAAGTAAATTACACCAAACCCACACACCATCATTTCAAGGAGCTGTCATCACACCACGGAGGTTTTATTTCACCCAGCATGGTATTCCCGGAGAACCACTGTTTTTTCTTCACGTGCTGCTGGGGCTTTCATTTGGTCAGAAATGGCTTTATTTCTCAGACTGGCCAACAGTATAAGAATTTTAGCTCCAGAAAGCACTGGTTAGCTGTGACAGACAGTGCCTGTTCATCTCCTGTGACCTTTAGCAAATGATTTTAACTTTCCGAGTCTCAGTTTCTCATCCTATAAAATGTAGATTTATCATTTCTACCTCCAACCTTTGCCCTAAAGGTAAGCAATAATGCACTGACAGTGGAAAGAATCCGGATGTCAGATGACTGGATGCATATCTTGGCTCCATTGCTACTTGTGCAAATCATGATCCTGTGTGAGCCCTCTGTTTCCTAGTCTATAAAAGCTGCTGATCATAGGTGCGTGGAGGAATTGCTTTTTGCCCTACCTAGAAGACCTGAGTCCAGAAACATTAACACACCAAGAAGTTGGGGTGAGTGGTGGACTCACCTGAGGTGCTAAAGCTGCTAAGAAATTGACTGAGAGACCTGACTCACCTTTGATCCTATGTGATTCTCAGTACACTCTCAAGCAACACCAACGTCAGAGCCAAGCTCTGGGGACAGAGAAGCAACTGTTCCTCTAGAAGACACTCCTGCCTTGCTGACACAGACAAAGTGGATGTGAGAGTCAAAATGCTCTGAGAGGGTGGCTCTTCCCTGGGATATCCTTTCTCACTAGCCAAGGGTCCTTTCTTCCTTTCTGAGTGAGAAAATTAGCTCATGGCCTGAAAGCCAGTACATTAATACACCTTGAGAAAGAACTGGAACATTTAAAGAAGAGTATAGCAGTAAAAAAATAATACACTTTGCATGAGTTAAGGGATGGATGGATGGATAAATGGATGATTGGGGATTCTGGCTTTATCACAGATTAACTGAATGACCTTACATACTGTCAGTTCAGTCCTGTCCGACTCTTTTTGACCCCATGGACTGTACCCTGCCAGGCTTCTCTGTCCGTGGGATTCTCCAGGCAAGAATACTGGAGTGGGTGGCTGTGCCCTCCTGTAGGGAATCTTCCTGACGCAGGGAGCAAACCCACATCTCTTACATCTCCTGCACTGGCAGGCAGATTCTTTGCTACTAGTGCCACCTGGGAAATCATGAGTGACCTTGGGCAAGTTAATTAGCTATTGTGGGTGACTTCCATTTCTTTTCTATAAAATAGGAATAATGAAAATGGCTAGGCTGCCTAAGTGTGAGAATTAAATACATTGATGGATGTTAAGCACTTAAATCAGGTCTCAGTACCTCGTAAACGAAAGCCACGTTACAGTGATTTGCTGTTGTTTTCTGTTCTGTACTCAAAATGGCTCGGCTTCTTTTTTGACTTTTGCATTCTCTATACTTTGCAGGTCAGCAGGTCCTGGGCCTGGTAGAGAACCAGAGTGATTGGTACCTTGGAAACCTGTGGAAAAATCACCGTCCTTGGCCTGCCCTTGGAAGAGGCTACAACACAGGTAAAGTCAGGCGGGTGACGTGCTGGGCACTGGAGGGTGGGGTGCGGAGTGATGTGAGGACTTTCTCGGGAAGAGGAGGTGAGTCCCAGCACAGGAGAAGCCGCCTGCTTGCCTGAGTTCGGCCGTGGACTGTTCTCAAGTCGGCCCTCTGGTTCTTGCTTCGGGCTGCAGCTAGAGGCAGTGTCGCTACTGGGCCGTGGCAGTCGCTGGCCTTCTCTCCTGACCTTCAGTCCCTGATCCAGCTGGCATCTTTATGAGTGTCACCTGTAGGATTCATTGTCTTTGTATGGGGATGAAAGTAGCTGATTTTTTTTTGGCTACAACATGTCATAGTTGCAGCGTGTAGGATCTAGTTCCCTGTGTGTGCGTGGGTACTAAATCACTCAGTCGTGTCTCTTTGTGACCCCATGGACTGTAGCCCGCCAGGCTCCTCTGTCCATGGAATTTTCCAGACAAGAATACTGGAGTGGGGTGCCATTTCCTCCTCCAGGGGATATTCCCAATCCAGGGATCAAACCCGCATCTCTGACGTCTCCTGCATTGGCAGGAGAGTTCTTTACCACTAGTGCCACCTGGGAAACCCTTAATTTCCTGATGAGGAATCAAACCCAAGCACCCTGCATTTGAAGTGTGGAACCTTAGTCACTCTGCCACTGGGGAAGTCCCCTGATGTCTTACTGACTCTTAAAGTTTCTGATTAGAAGTGACATAATCTTTTTTAATTTTTCGTTTGCTTTTTTTTTTTTTAAGATTTTTAAAAACTTTTATTTAGAAAGGCTGAAATGATTGTATGCTAATTTGAACAGGCAATCTGTACGAGGATTTTTCAGTTTTGTGTCCTCCACATTGGATTCCACTATGGGTACTTAGTTCTTTCTTTAGACCTCTCAACTTCAGACAGGAGCTGAGCAGATATATGGCTTACTCCTTTCCCCTAAACATATTCTCAGGCACTAGACAAGGAGCTGTACCTCTGAGCAACGGTAACTGGCAATAGTACCTACGAAAGGACAAAGCTATGAGTGATACAAGTTTTAAATTGAAGTAGAGTTGATTTATAGTGTATTAGTTTCAGATGTGTGGCAGTGATCAGCTATACATACATAGATCTTTTTTTTTCAGATTCTTTTCCCTTATAGGTTTTTACAAAATATTGAATATAGTTCCCTGTGCTATACAGTAGGTCCTTGTTGGTTATCTATCTTTTATATAGTAGTATGTATATGCTGATCCCAAACTCCTAATTTATCCCTCCCCCTTTCCACTTTGTAACCATAAACTTGTTTTCTGTGTCTGCATGTCTATTTCTGCTTTGTATATAAGTTCATTTGTATCTTTTTTTTTTAGATTCCACATATAATTAATGTCATATGATGTCTGTCTTTCTGTGAATGGCTTCCTTCACTTCGTGTGATCATCTCTAGTTGCATTCACATTGCTGCACGTGGTGTTATTTCATCCTTTTTGTGGCAGAGTAATATTCCATCATGTATATATACCACATCTTCCTTATCCTTTCATCTAACGAGGAATGTTCAAGTTGCTTTCATGCTTTGGCTATTGTAAATAATGCTGCAGTGAACACTGAGGTGCATACGTCTTTTCCAAGAAGTGACTTTTCCAACAACATTAAATTGGCTAAAGGATGCCATGTGGTCATGCCCACCTTCAGAGGGCATGTCCAAGTGTAACACAACCGTGTGCCTGCAAGGAGAAAAGGCAGATATATTTGGCCATTGGTACTTAAAAGGAACACAGCCGCTAAACACCTTGTGCCAGAAATCAAATCCATTTTCTGTCTTGCTGCTAACCCCACACATGGGTCTCTTCTTTTCTTTCTATCTCTATTAATAGTGTCATTCATTCATTCATTCTTTGTTCACCTCCTGTCTCTCTAACATTTACTGTGTGCTGGGCCCTGAGCTAGTGTACCAGACGTAGCCCATGACCTTGTGGAGCTTATAAAGAAGGAAACTAGAGTAACCTCCCCTCTTTAGGCTCTGGTCCTGCCACTGTCTACCTTCAGAATGCCTCTGGAGATCCTCTTTGCTTTGATACCCTGTTCTCAAGGGTGCAGACCTGTGTTGTGGGTCAGGATGAGAACTTGGAGCTCAAGGAGGGCAGCAGGACAGGTCAGACCAAGAAGGGCTGGGACTCGGAACCTAGACCAGCTCTATTGAGTTAGGGCAGGGGTCTGGGGATGGTGCCCCCTGAAGGTGATAGGTGGTAGCCAATCCTGGAGGCTCAGGTGAGTCTGTAGTGGGAGGAGTCGGTCAGCTCTGAGTGCTGAGGGTCAGATGCAAATATGAGGCCCCAGCGGCCACAGGACGAAGGATGAGAGTTGAGCATCCAGGCGTGCACATTCAGAGATCAGGTCAGAGTGGGGTCAAAGCTGGAATAAGACAAGGGAAGAAAGGTCCAGGCTGAATGTTCTGGGCAGCCAGAGGTCAGGGATGCCTGTACTGAAGGCCATCCTGAGTGGGGAGACATTCCTTAGCTGACATTTGCCAGAAGGTCCGGGTGTGCCTCACAGGGTGTCATTTTCCTCTGTAACACCTACCAGGCATCGCAACCTGCAGGGGGTGCAGTTGAAGAATTTTAACCTCCAGCACTTCCCTGCTGTACCGGGCATTAACCCTTGAGTCACGGAATGGTGGGGGGTTCTGGGGCATCCCTGAGAGAGGCCAGGTTCAGAGCGGTGGTTGTTCCGTTGCTCAGTTGTGTCCAACTCTTTACAATCCCATGGACTGCAGCACGCCAGGCTTCCCTGTCCTTCACAATCTCCTGGAGATTGCTCAAACTCATGTCCATTGAGTTGGTGATGCCATCCAACCGGCTTGTCCTCTGTCATCCTCTTCTCCTCCTGCCTTTTATCTTTCCCAACATCAGAGTCTTTTTCCAGTGAGTTGGCTCTGCACATCAGGTGGCCACAGTATTGAAGCTTCAGCTTCAGCATCAGTCCTTGCAATGAATATTCAAGGTTGATTTCTTTTAGAATTGACTGGTTTAATCTCCTTTCTGTCCAAGGGACTCTCAAGAGTCTTTTCCAACACCACAGTTCCAAAGCATCAGGTTCGGGGAGGGGGCCCCAAAATGGGCTCAAAGCAGCAGCTCTGATTAGCTGGTGTGGAGGTATTTCTGTTATGGTGGTGGGCAAGGCAATGTCTCTGCATCCCAGCTCAGTACTGGCCAAGTGCTGTATCCAGTGTGTTCTAGGTGTTACTCTCACTGATGCTCACACTAACCTCATGGGGCAAGAGTTATTCTCATCTCTATTTTATACCTAGGAAACTCAAGCTTAGAGAGTTAAAGGTTGGAGTCTGATAAGTAAGGAGCCTGCTGTTAACTACTGACCTTCCTAGCTTGAATTTTAGTGGCTTCAAAATCAAGAATCCTATTTTTAAAAAGTAACCCTGTCTCAGTAAATCACTTTCAGTTGGGACTGGCCACTGGCCACCTGGCTCCGTGTCAAAGATCTGGGGACAGGTGAGATTTGACTACTTAAATCTATGAGCGTATTAGATCATTTTAGCTGCTAGAAAGTTCTTTGTAAGGCACCTTTTTATGTGAAATTCCTGGACCACGCAGGTTATACAAAGTGAGGAAAGAGAACTGCAAAATTGTTTAAATCCTTGCTCTACCTTAACTACAAAGTTAACAGTGCATGGTGAGAAATTTGACCCGATCAAGAAGAGAAAGCCTGAAAATAATTTCTTCTTTCTGTGACTTTGGAATCATTGCAATATTTTAGGCAAACAATAATGTAAGAACTCTTGATGCTTTTGTTATCTTATTCAGCAAATCAGAAAATACAACAGAATAATATTGTTTTTTAAAAATGTGGGATCTAGACTCTGCACCTTGAAAGGTCTGGGAGGAGCCCAGGGTTCTGCCTTATACGAAGTCTCCAGGATGCTTCTGGAGCAGAAGGTGCAAGGATCTGTTCTGATTAAACCTTGTTTCCCCTTCCAGCAAACTTCCCCAAGGACTCTCTTCTCAGCGCCTTTGAGGCTGGACCTTTTAGAGACCCACAGTGAGCCAATGAGAGGGCTTCCCATGCTTCTTTTGCTCAGAGAATGATCACCTCATGTTGATCTCCTGTGCCTGGATTTCAGCAGCTTCACTCCAGGCTTTCATAAAGCTGGAGACACCCATGCTTCTCTGCTGGGTGAAGGGGCATCGCAGGTAAACCCTGGTGTGTGTTTAGGCCCTGCTTTCCGCAGCATGGAATAATAGAAAATGTCACATGGAGATAAACTACAGTGCCTCCAGGGCACAGGATCAAGGTCGTGATTATCCACATCAAACAAAAACCACTGGTCATCAATCTGGGTTTGCAGGGGGAAAGAAAAATGTAGCACACTGGGGAATTTATTTTGACCAAAATGGCATGTCCCCTCCTGCTCCTCCCAGTCTATCTCTGACTGTGAGGTCAGAAGACAGACAGGTGCCTAAACCCTCTCTAGCTCCTACTTGGTATTCCAAGACAGTGAGTTCCTTTCCTTCTTGCTGCTTTTGAAAGGGCAGAGCAGATGGGGGAAGGCCCTGTTAGAAGTGATGTGTCCATTTAAATCAGCCAGTGACATCAAGTGATCATTAGAAAAGGATTTATGGGACATCAAAATGCATTGACTTTCATGACGGGGATTTGTTATTTTAAGACTGAGGATTGCGCCACACATCAGCGGATGAGTCATCCAAACCAGACTTTTAGATTCTCTTGGAAATCGTGAGGACTCCACTGGAGGGAACCTGTCTCCCTGCATCCGAGTGCATCTCAGGCATCCAGACAGGGTGTCTTCAGCCAAGCCCCGTGCTGAGCCTTCAGCTTGGTGCTGGGAAACCGAGGCAGGTTCGGGTTAGGCTGGAATTCGGCTGCTTAGTCTCTGGGAGCTTAGCCAAGTTGCCTGCTTGAACCTTAGTTCTCTCCCTGGTAAAATAGGATAAATAACAACAGCACCTACTGTGTGAATATTAATGAGGTAACTTGTTTAATCAGC